TGATTTGTTTTTTGTTAGAAAATTTAATCTAGAAGGTTAGTGCATGTTTGCTGGGATGGAAACTTTATGGATTTCAAAAGAAAAGATGGTGTGGAGAGTTTAACGTTACTACAAGCAGATAGGACCATCATGTTGTAATACCATATATTTGACCCCACTTAATTGCTTTTGCCTTCTCAAATTCAAGTTGTTTTAGGATTCCAGCTTCTTTTGCCTGAATAATTGAGCAATTATACACTCAACCTTTCTGTAACATTCTTCTTTATGTGCACCTCCAGTATATGGAAAAGGTGTTTGTGTCCACAAAAAACTTTGGGACCTTAACAATGTATTGAATGCACTGTAAGTCGGATTTGCTTTGTTTGTTGTCGGAAATGTGTTGCACGTTTATTCGTTTTGGTCGGGACTCCTTTTGTTTAATCAAAGAGGGCGTGAATCGAAAGCTGCTATTTGTTGGCCACATTGGCACAATTGGTGAACAGAATAGCCAACACGGAGAAAGCAACCGCTTCCCTAAAAGATTGTGGAGAAGTTCGTTTCCAGATCGAACCTCAATCAATAAGATCTAAATGTAGAGCTTCATCACCATAGAAGTGTTAACTCCGCATGATGCCTTCTTTTGCTGAGTACGTTGTTTCACTAAAATAGTCTGTTCCGTCCAAAATTAATGGTGGGTGGGCAGTAGTTTTCGTCCAAACTAACACAAGGTGATGTGTCAATGGATTGGTAGTATTGATTGATGAACCTTTTAAGTTATAACTGCCCTTTCAGGCTATTAATCCAGTTGCAACAGCAGATTTAATTGATGGGATTGCTTACCGTCCTATAATTTTACCTGCATTCCAAGCTTTTGAATCATAAAATGTGGGAGCAAGCTTAAATCAATGAAATGCCATCACTCAAGGGAGAACAACTTGATGTTTCTCTCTAGGAAGCATGATCCCCAGAAAGGTAATCATTGCTATTAGGAATATGAGAAAGAGGATAGAGATCTGTTATGAACCTGATAAAGAAGATAGAGACTTTTCCCTGCGAAAGAAGATAGAGATTTTTCTAACTGCTACTACGAAATTCTCCTAAGCTTTGATCTACTGTTCCCCATTATGAGGAAAATAAACCCAAAGCTCATAGATGTAAAGGAAGCAAAACGGTAGTACTGTAGCATAGCACACGTATGGCACACGAGTAAACAAATTTGACGGCTAAAAACTACAGGCAAAGAAAATTTTGAACCCAAAATGTGAGACCAGCTTGGAGTTGACTGGTTACAACTTACCGCAATAAAATAGTTCAAACAATAGTATTTGAAGTCTTCATTGATGGGATGACCCAGATGCAGCAGATACTGGTGGTGGTGGTGGTGCAGATGCTGATCCTGATGAAGAAGAAGCTGCAGGTGAGGGCCTTGGTGGCCCAGCCTGATGATATTGCTGTGTTGCAGCTGGGGCCTGAGGTGGAGGCATTGCAGAATGATATGGACGATACTGCTGATAAGGAGGTATTGGTGGCATGTATCCATATGGTGGATGAAGTTGGTGAGGATACTGACCATGTGGGGGTGGCGGCATAGCTTGATAAGCATACTGCTGCCCTTGTGGCTGCTTTTCAGACCCGGGTTTGGTCTCTCCATCTTGGGAGGGAACAAGAGCACCCATCCTCTGAGGATCCATTGATGGATAGAATGCTCTATCTTGCTGAGGTGGTGGCGGGATATTGAAATAGTGCATTGGTTGGGTTTGGTCCTGAGTTCCAAATGGTTGAAATTGGTTCTGCTGCTGTGATATGACTGCCCGGGGCAGCATTCCACTATGAGCCACAGCTGCTTGCTGCCTGGCTCCATCTGAGGTTTCTGATTCAGGCTTTGGTGCCTGGGGTTTACCCCACATTAGCTTCAATCTGAGGCCCTTTATGACTAGCTTATTAGAAAGCTCTTCTGCAGCCTTCTCCGCACCTTCTCTAGTTGTGTATGTAACAAAAGCACATGCTTTATCCAGCACCATCTTTATAGATTCAATTTCACCATGGGCATAAAAGTTATCCCTTAAATCCTGTTCAGTGATTCTTTTATCAAGCCCACCCACATACAGGGTTCTAATACTTTCATCCTCAGGAGGTTCCAAAGAGGGCATTTCACCAGCCTTGTTGAGTAGCTTCAGAGCCACCGGATCATTTACACTGCACAAAATTAGAAAGAAAAGGAATTGCAAAGAATTAATTGGAAGATCCATGCATGACAAGCACGTATAGGTAGGTCCATGGAAGCTAAATTACATAATGATTAGTCAATGGCTGACCAAATTATTATAAGAATATGGTTATTAATAAGACAGAATGCAGTAAGAAGATTGACATGGGCCATAGCTGGATCCAACTAGTTTATGTCTGGAGCTTGGTTGAGTTTTGTTGAGTTGAATATGTAACAATGTTATCATGTGTAGAGGCTAGAGAGAGACTAAATTCAAGTACCGATAATATTCATAAACAACAAAAAGACAGGATTCTTTTGGGTCTAAGTGTGTATGTTATTGGCAGAGGACGACGAAAGGTCTAGAAAGAATAAAAAAAACTTACGAAGACTTCTAAGGGTATTATGAAAGATAACAAGCATCTTGCTGCATCATTAATGCAATATAGACCAAGTGGCCAAAAAAAAAAAAATAATAATAATAATGCAACGTAGACCACCATACAGCTAGCAAGATAGAACTACTAAATGACTTCTCATATTAAAAGAAAGAAATATCATTAGAATTGCACTCACCCATAATAACGATCTTTTATATTTTGCTGTGACAATTCCCCAGTTACTGGCATCTCATGCCTATAAGGGCACTCAGCACCTCTTGTGCATTCACCTCGCACATAAAAACTGCAGATATGTGCTCTGTTTCTTTTGTAGTATGGTGTTGTTCTTTGAAGCTTCAAAATGGTGTCACTTGGTCGTACCTTGCCGAATGAGGACTCATAGTCTAAACCAGCCCTAGCCTGCAAATCATAAATTTATTTAGCTTAGAACAAGAGGCAAACAACAGGAAAAGTGACACCATGGCCTTAACCTAACCCTAACAAGTCTGGATGACATTAGAGAGGGAAAGGGATAGAGAGAGTAGTTGCAAGATATATGCAATCAGTAATGAGCCTTGAGCCCGGGGAATCTTGGCATAAGTTAATTGCCAGGCTATCCAACTAAGCAGATAAAAATCATAGTCACATTTACATTATCTATCTATCTACAAGACAACCCCACATTCCAACCCACCAAAAAGCCATTTTAACAACAGCCTGCAGAGGGACAGCTACAACAAAAATGGGTGGACAAAGAGATTTCTGACAGTAAGCTGGAGAAGGAGATGAAATGCATGCTAATATAGAATGCATAAGATTCACTGCCACAACAATATAACTTGGTAGTGTAAAATCCAAGAACTAACATGTGAATAAAGAAGCATCAAATACACATGTCAACTAAAAATCATTTATTCCTACACTGGTAACAATCTAAAGAAAAAGCAGATGCATACCCGACGGTCATGCTCCTCAGCAAAATACTCTCTGTTCACATCACTCTTTGGAATGGCATCATTTGAATTTATGCTAAGAGCGGTATCTCGAACTTGAACTGGCAAACCATATTCAAGATCCAAAAGGCACACTTGACAAACATTTTTCAACTTACTGCATGTCTGGCAAATCTCACTTTTCTTATACCTTGCATCTCGTCCAGGTCTCCACCTAAAAACAGTAAATGGCCGTGTACAAATCTTGCACTCCTTATCATAATCTGCTCGGGTCTGCAATCAAACATAAATATCTGAGTAACTCAAGAAAAAAAATTAAAGCATTTTACATGCAACGGATGAAAATAGAATTGAACCATCATTAGAATCTCAAATTCTCCATACAAAATAAAGTTCAAATTCCTCAACTTAGAATAAATAGTTTAAAAAAACTAGAAGTCATCGATGAGAGAAGGATTAATACCATTCTGACATATGGGTTATCACCAAGGCACGACTCACAAATAATAGGAAAGTCAGAGCGTTCCCAACCATCAGCCTCATAATCTCTTAACAATCTGTGTGCCATTTTTATCGTTTGGCCTAGCTCACGTGGCGTTCACCACCTGCAAATTGCTCTCTGTTAAATTGCTTCATAGAGAAAGCAGAGTTAAAGAAACAAAACAAGAATCCTCCACCGAAATCAAACAGAACCCCTCTTTCGCCACACCCAGACCCACAAGGAGAGATTGTTTTATCTTGGGGAACAAAAGCAGTGCTAGAAACAACATTAAATAAGCATCGATTTTGAAAAACAATCATTCTTCTACTTCCTTTTCTTCCTAAGAGCACGGTATTTAGTACGGAAAATTTATGATAGATGTAATATTATTGGAACTAAAAAAATCTACAATCCTCTCAAGTGAAAATTACTAAACCATCCTGAATCCTGAATAAAAAGTAAAAACAGAAAACTTCAAATACAAATTAAAGCATACGAGAGAAGACGGAACCATGATATGAACAAATAGGGAACAAAGATGGAATCCCTACAGCACTTCCTATCATCTGGTTAGGGTTTTCAGGCAAAGAAAACAGGGAAAAGTTAAAAATACCTGGACGGGAGACAGAGACGGTGGCAACGGCGGCGGAAATGGTGACGCTAACTCAGCAGCCTCGACGGTCAACAGAGATAGGCGCTCAGTACGGAATCGCGCCAGAGAGGAAGGGGAAAAATGAACAGCTTGGAAACAAGAAGGGAAAATTTTCATTTTAAATTTAAGTTTTTATTTATATTTGGTCTTCGCTTCGGCCGCACGATTTGTACCGATCCAACGGTCCAAACATATTTGGGCCTAAAAGCGGCCCAGTACCAATTTAAAGCGAGTCTGCCAGGCCCAAAATAAATATAAATCTCGAAGTAGCGTACGTAAACACCCTCCATAAACCTCCGTATTTTCAATACTGTGCCTTCTCTCCCTAACCTCGTGACCTAGAATCCATGGATACCGCTAAGTGGGCTCGGGGCTCCGCTCTAGTCGTATGCGTTCGCTTCTTCGCCTTCTCGATGCTGTCATCTGTTGCTTCTGCCAAGGAACTTTCTTTAGGTGCTCTTCTCTTATGTCTTTTGATTTTGTCGCTGATATTGCCGTGCTAAATCTAAAACCTAGGTTTTGTTTTTCCTGTGTACCCAATTGAAGAATTAAAGTGTAATAAATGCCCAATTTTTCTCTATGTTTGGTTTCCAAGAAAATTTGATGAAATGAAGGGAAAGGGTAGTAAAAGTTCGTACCTTTAGGCTATTTAGTCGGTTTAAATTTAGTTAATCCAAGAGGAAGATAAGGGGAGTTGATAGCTTTTGGTTTTATTTATTATTTACATTTATTATTTTTTGCTTTTGTAGCTGTTGGGGACTCCAATGCTACGTTGCAGCTACGTCCTGCCTTGCAAGTGCAGAACTCTCCAGGTTTGAAACCAACAGTTACAGCTGTTTTTGAAAGAGTCTACATTCATGGGCTGTCGAGGCTTCGAAACCTGAACAAGTTTGCCCATTCAGTGAAGGTGAAGGTTTCACAGGTTAAATCAAGTTCACTCAAACCGAATGTGGAAATCTGTCTCCATAGGTAAGTGATCAAATCTGAGATTGCACGGTTGATGATAAATTGGGGATAATTGACAGTTAATCCCTTTGTTACGTTTAGTTTGAACGGTGATAATTGACTGTCTTCTATGGGAAGTTCGTTAGTGTAATGTCACGATTGTTGTGTCTGTTTGCAGGAACATGTCTCTTGGAATTGGGATGTGCCCTCAGAGCCAGTGGGAGAAGGTTTCAAAGGGTTCATGGATTGAACCCATGTCCCCTTTTGACCTCAAGGTCTTAGACATAAGGATGATTAGTTCATCAGCAGAAACCCTGGAAGTGTCCATTATAGAAGGTTAAGTTTCTAGATGTCTCTTCTTCCTGCCTTATTTTTGAGGCATTGGAAACTATTTTTTATTTTTGACTTTTTTCTTTTGTTTTGCAGAATTTTATGTGTATCGTGTTTTGTTTTTAATCGTGGGCATCCTATTACTGAGCTCTGCAACCTTTCTGAGCAAATCATTAGCATTCTACTACAGCAGTGCCATGGCAGTTGGAGTTATCCTTGTAGTACTACTGGTCCTTTTTCAGGTAAAAAGCCACTGTCAATAAGTTATAAGAAACTCAGCAATCAGCACTTAAGTGTGAAGCTTGGCCTATGTTGTGCAATTCACTTTTATATGCTTATATGCTTTTGTTTGACTGACAGGGAATGAAGCTACTCCCAACTGGTCGGAGGAGTTCGCTTGCCATTTTTATATATTCATCTATGGTGTGTATCAATGTTCCAAACTTTTGATGGCAAATTTGCACATGTGTCCTGAAGCTTTCTTTTACATGAAAGAAAATATTTTTAACTCTTTCTATTGTTCTTCAGGTTGGTTTAGGATCTTTTCTTCTCCGCCATCTGCCAAGTTTGTTGCAGTCAGTACTTGCAGAGATAGGAATTAGTGAAGACATGTATAACCCTGTATGTAAGTTATATTATATTCTAACAGTTTCTTTGTTTTTTTTTCCTCCTCTCATAGGCATGGCCTTTCTCTCTGTTGGCTAAATTGTTATCATAGAATGCTATTTTTGTGTGCACAGACATGGTTAAAGTTATTGGTAATAAACCGCTGCAGATAAATGGAATGTGTTGTATTTACAATCCTTGGAATTGTTAGAAATGATGATGCTTTGCAAATTATATCCTCGCTAAAAAGGTAGCTGCCATTTGAATTTAAACTGCAGTTGGCAAATTTTTTGCTGGCTTTTATCATTCTAGCTGGAGCATGGTTGGGTTTCTGGGCTGTTCGCAAACTTGTCTTGGCAGAAGATGGATCAGTTGACATAAGCACATCCAATTTTGTTGCTTGGTCCATACGGATTTTTGCTGTCACTATGATTCTTCAGGTTTTTCCACCCTTTCAATATTTGAAGTTTTAACGTAGACTAGTGGTGGTCTCCATTGTCACTGAGTTCATGGTAGTTTTATTCTTGTTTATAAATTTGACTTACCTTATCTTTTCAGAGTTCTTCAGATCCCCTCCTCACACTGGAGGCATTAGTGTCTAGCATAATGGTTTCAAAAGTTTTGCAGAGAACAACTAGATTGAGATTCTTGCGTCGCCTGTACAAGTATGTATTAATTTTACATCACAGGGCTAAGTCATTTTCTATCATCATAAATATCCACTTGCATCTTACTCAATATAAGGCTTTCCTTTTGCTGCTGCTCTAAATTTGGATTGTAGATAGATCGATACAAAATCATAAAGTTTACTCTAAATTTGGAGAACTTCTTGTTTACCTGTTCTTCTGAGGCTACATGGATTATTTAGCATTTCTATATATTTGTATGTGCATTCGTGTGTCTGTTTTTAAGTGCCATTAGATTTTAGTGCATTACTGTTGTGGATTACTTTTGTAGGAAGTTGTTCAAATTTGTCAAAAACATCTGGAGAAGTTCTGAGATTCCTGATTTTTCACTATCTCAAGATCCTTATGATGAATACGTATACAGGATCCCGTATGAAACTAAGTTCCCCCAGCATCGGTTCAAACGTTCTAACCTGGCTTCATGCAGTTCTCCTGTACAAGGTTTGTTTAACAGATGTCATTTTCTACCAAATAGACTGAGAAAACTTTGTACTTATGATCTGGTAATGTCATTGGAAATTCATTAATACATTATGGCTGTCATTGTAGGTATTACCACAACATCAACTAGTCGTCTGTCAGATATGGACTCGTATCCTTCAACCATCCACGAGACTCCTGACAGGAGAAAATTTACAAAGCAAGAGTTTGAGAAGTTCACACGAGAGTCCACAAAAAAGGCCGTTGATGAACTTGTTTCTTCTCCTGATTTCAGCAAATGGGTTGCTGCTAATGCGGATAGAATCACGGTAACATCCGGAAAAAGCCCTGCTAGCATTTCCGGTCAGCCTCATCGGTGGCTTCTGTGGTTCTAAGCAAGGTTAATTCTCCAATGTATTGTGTACCAGCAAAAATTCAGACATTAGTCACAGAACGAACTCAGGTTCAAATGATCGTTGGTAAGCAGTGGAATATCAAGGATGGAATTTGGAGCGTGTGAATATCAGCAATTTCAGATGAAACCAAAAGCATGCTTGTAAACGTAGATTAACCCTTTCCAGGTTTAGGAAGGATTGTAGGAACGCGGATGATGTCATTGTTGTATTGTATCATGATATTGTGTCTACTCAGTTCTTCGTTCAATCTTTCAGCTAACATGCCACAAAATTTTTGAACCTACCCTACGCAACGTGATTTCTGTTTTGATGTAGCAGCTCAAACTGTCCCAAAATCTACTAGATTGTTCTGGGATGTGAAGGCACCTGCCTTGACAACATGAAACCAAACACGTTCAAGGAAATTAGCCGCCAAGAATACCCTTTTTAAGGGCATCTGATCTGAACAAATCTGAAACAATCACCCTGAGACAATTGGCCATCGACAATTAATTGAAAGCAGTGAAATCTCTACTGATTTGAAGCCTTTCCCAATTCAACTTGCGATAAGGGCCCATGCAACGTATCTTCCTTCTAGCCGTAGAAAATTTTGGGAGGCCTTTTTGGCATATTGCTGGCTAATTTCCCAATGTCAAGCTCAAAAAGAAGTTTCACGAAGATTCTTTTCCCAAAATTTGTTATTTGCTGCTACAATCAACAACTAGCTTAGTGTGTACCAAAAAAAAAAAAAAACAACTAGCTTAGTGTGAACTCCCCCACCACTGGGCCACAATGCTATTCCAAAAGTAGCAGGTGGTGTTCACTCGATTTGGATTTTTGATGCTGACTTAAAAATAAATATTAACTTTTAGTAAATGTTTTTTTTGTTAAAAAAAAAAAACACAATTAGCTTAGTGTGGGATGTGGTTATGGCGATTGATAAAGTTGTTAAGATTATTAAATTTATATATATATCAAAATAATTGTTATTTTTTTATTTTTTAATTTAAAATTTAAAAATAATTTATGTATTTATGTATATTAATTTTAAGAAAAAATTAAAAAATAAATTAAAATTTTTGTGATAAAATAATTAATTAAAATAAATAAATCATGATAGAGTTAAAATAAGAAAAAATATTTATAAATAAAAAATAATTAATTTGAGATAAATTTAAAATCAAATAATGATAGTTATTTTAATATGGAGGGAGTATAATTTAATTGATATTTATAGTTTTTAAAATAAATAATAATAATATAAAAAAAATATCAATTTATAAATTAAATTAATTAAAAAATAAATATTAATTATTTTATTTTTATAAAAAAAATATTAATTATTTTATTAATTATGAATTATTTTTAATAATTAAATCAAATAAAATTACATCAATTTACTTGAAAAAAAATCTCACATCTCCCATATTCCCTTATGTTTAAAAATAAAATAAAATAAAATAAGCTTAAAAGAAGGATGAATATCAAAAACAGAACAAAGTGCGGGGCGGAATTATGCGATTCTGCTCGACTGGGGGAATAAAAACTCTTTTTTAATTGGTAAATAAGGAAGATGGGAACAAAAACTCTTGCTGAACGAATAACTCTAGTAGAAGTAGAAACGCACCTGCCGTTGTGGGCCGACTACCTAGTAGCTAGTTTTAAAGATGCTCTACCATCAATATGATGCTGGTTTAAATTCTCTATTCCTTGCAATTTATACTTGTTCAACTAGTAAAAGTAGAAACAGTGCAAGATTCGGATTGCTACTTTTTTTTATGATAGTAACATGGCCGCACAAGCTATGTTAATCAGTTGCAGGAAGGAAGAGTAGCAGTTTCCCTGGTTTTAGTATCAGTAGAAACTTCTTGCAACCTGACTCGCTTCACCGACCTTGTTACCTATAAAACCACCTCTGGTCGTCTTCTTTTCCACCTTCCAATCACAGTTTAAAGAAGAGAAAGAGAAACTGGTAGAGGGTTTCAAGAGGAAAGCAAGATGAGTTACTACAGCCAGCCGCAGCCTCCAGTCAGTGTTCCTCCTTCTCAGGGTACGTAGTGTTCCTTTTTTCCCTACGGTTCATGGTGATTTTGTATTCTTATTTGGGTTTCTTTTGGAACACTGACAATGTATAGTTTTTCTTGATCTGGGTTTGCAGGGTATCCTCCCAAGCAGGCTTACCCGCCGCCAGGGTACCCAGTGCAGGGATATCCGGCTCGGTCCTATCCTCCTCAGTACTACACAACAGCGCCTCCTCCACGGCAAGATACCAGCTTTCTTGAAGGATGGTAAAGCCTCCTGTGTTTCTCTGTCTCTCCTTCTCATGCATCCAATTAAACTGCCATTAGTTTCTGTAGATATCACCTATCACTATCAGAATAAATTGTTTTTCAAGTCATAAAGGCAGAATTTTGAGGGCTAAGATTATTAAGTCCTCAGTCCATATCTTGTCTGTTGTTTTGGAATAACTCTAAAGATTACAGGGTCTTAAAATCAAACCCACAATCACAAAAAAGGGTATAGGTCTTCTGATTTTTGTGGGGATTCGGGGGAATTGAGCTAAAGAGGTGGGGAATTGAAGATGTTTCCTCAATTCAGTTGTACTATATTATTCAAGCAATCTTTAGGATTCTGACATAATTGTGTAACCTATAAAGATTACATGCATTGTGCTCAAAATCGAGTCGGCTCAAACATGAAATAAAAGGGGTTTAGGTGTAACGCATCCAATCTCACATTTGTGGAAATTGTGAGTGTACTAACATCTTGAACTTCGGCTTGGGTCGCTTAATTGATCTTTTGTATTCTTGATAACAGTTGGGGGTTAGGGAAAATTGAGTTGATGAATTCTATTTTGTACTCTTATTGAAGCTTCTTATGCGTTATTAACGTAATTCTGTCTCTCTGATCTCCAGCTTAGCGGCACTCTGTTGCTGTTGCCTTCTAGATTCATGCTTCTGAGGGGAGAATCAAGGCCTAGTGCAACTCAGCCGTGTAACTTGTCCATAGTTGGATTGCTGTTACAATGGTTACTTATGCAGTAGATTCAATCAAGGGAAAAATTTACTTTTGCCCCCATGTATTTGGATTAGAGTCTGGTGTCAAATTTGCAAACATTGTTTGTTAATAGATATGTGTGCTCTGCTCTTCAATATATTACCAGAAGCATATTTTCAATGTCCATATGGTTGCTTCCCCATGCATATTTTCAATATATCTCACTTTCATTGCTTGGTCCAGTCATAACCTAGGAGTGCTTTTGATATGTTGATGACAACTTTATCTTAAACATGAAAAGCATATATGCGTATATAATCAGTCTGATTATGTGCACCAAAGGGGTATCTTATTCTTACCCAAAGAACAGTTTTTATCCTTGGGACCCAAGGCGAATAATCCACAAGGGAAAAGACAAGAAGGAACGGGTCATATCATGAAATTAAAGGATTATGTTGGTAAAAAAAAGAACCAAAGAACGGCCTTTTCCTTACAGAACCCAATTCCACTATTATCATGAAGAACATGTACTTTGATGCTCCAGGAATTCCTTACCAGGTGCAACAAGCAATCCAACTTTGCACCCGCAATTGGACTCTAAACACCCCCGCTTTTGCATCGTACCTATCATGACCATACATATTCTTCGATTACCATCTTGAATTTAAAAGACTGATTAAATTTGTTTTATTTGTTCCTATGCAGGCTTCTTAATTACCACATAAAAACCTTTTCTGCTGTTCTAGGTCAGTATGGTATCGCATTTGCATACATACCAGGCCATCTGAATTTCTCCGGAGACCAAGCTCAATTCCAAGACGGAATGGCTTAGTTATATAATCTGTTATTACGCCATCTAGGTCAATGTTTTTAAATTTATGTGCACCAAATCAGTCAAATTCTTGTGTGTTTTTCGTTTTTTCATATGGTTGTTTTGGGCAGCTTTTTTTTTTTTTTTTTTTTA